CACCATCACTCTATTACCACTACCAAAGGCCCTAATGAAGCCTCCACCACCACTTAGCCACATCTATCCTGCTACCCACCCCACCACCACTACTATCACCACCGCTGCAAGCCCAACCACCACAATCTAGCCGCTACTCTTACCACCAACATTGTTGCATGTTGGCTTCCACGACCAGCACCACCTCCTACCCACCACTCTACCACCACCAAACCACTGCACCATCATTATCGCCTAGCTACCACCACCACCACCACCACTCTACCACAAGACCCTCAAGACCAACAAACCAATGGAGATAGAGTGTATCTCACTCTAAAGACTAAACCCCACCCTCTTTCCTTCTCTCTTTCTCTAGAAGTTGTCCCTTTTCTTTTTGACTTTAGCACATACCATAAGACAAAGTATTCCTCTCTCTAAACAACACCCCCTCTCTCTCTCTAGGTAGTCGTTGATATTTGAATTTAACACTCTTTCTCTCTCTAACTTTCCACGAACACCACCACGCTCACCCATGTGTCATTCTCTAGCACCTCCACAACGGAAGATTAGGAAAGCATGTGGAAGGATCTTTCGGTCTCATTTACGAGTTTTAGATTTTACAGCTTTCTTATTGGGTCCTCTCTGGGGTTACCTATCCTAGTCTGTTTTATTTTTGCCCCCAACTTGGGGGGCTCTGCCTTTGTATCTTCACTTTCATTTCAGTAAAGAGTTAACAGTTTCGAAAAAATGAAATCCAAGGCCAAATGATTCAAAGCTTTTATGATAAGAAGGTATGATGGAAATAGGGAAAATCCCAAATTTCAGCTCAATCAAAGACCATATGATTTGAATACAACCCTTCGAATCTCATCACAAGGGTCTAGTGTGGATCTCACTCCCTAAACGGCCTAAATTTACAAAGCAGCCATATAAAATCCGTAGTCCATGAGGCTGCATATGTGCTCTGGAGGGATGCGCTGCATCCCTTCGCATATGTGGTCGCATTCCGCATAGGGCACATATGCGGCCATCGAGTGATGTTAAAAAAAGCCCCTCAAGAAGGGGTATTTTCGACTTTTTGATCTCCAAAAAGGGGGGGGGTATTAAACCCCCCAAACAACCAAAAATAGCCACATCCATGGCCTTTACTTCATCAAATCAATAAAAAAAAAAAAAGAGGAAATTTATTTTGGTGAAATTCTTAGATTTTCGTCTTGGTTGATCTTTGAATGTTGATATGTGTATTTTGGGTGTTGATTTGAGGAAGTTTTAGCTAAGTTTTGACAACACATTGAGGGTTTCAAGGGCCGAGAAACAATCAATATTTGCTTCAAGTAATCGGTAATTTTGTTTTCCTACTATAGTAATACTTTATTTTGGGGCAATGTCTTCTTCACTATGTTTTAATAACAAGGATCCGGCTTCAAAATATACAAAACTAAAAAATCCAAAAGAAAGACCGAAATTGTGTTATTTGTATGCTTTGTGGAAATACTTATATGGGGGTATTTTGCGGCAAAAAGAACAATTAGCCGGTATTTCTGGGAATGTAAGAGCATGCCCACAAGTTACCAAAGCAAAAAAGGAGATTAGAGAATACATGGATAGCTTGAAAAAATTAAAAAGAGAAGAAAATAAAAGAAACGAAAAGAATTAATTGATGAAATTCAATTATTTAATGATGATAAGATGAGGCGGAAATGTTAGAAGTTGGAATGAGGCAAAGGTGTGCTCAAATGTCAACAGAGAGGGCTATAAATATTCGTGGTAATGTTAGAAAAAAAAAAAACCTCTCTAAGGGGCCAATGGATAATTTTTTCACCCCTGACCCCGAAATTGTGGTTCAAGAGAGGAGGGAATAAAAAAAAACCACAATTGAAAATCGATACAAGAAAGAAGAGAGAAAGAAACGTATGTAAGTACTTTGCAAAGTGATTTTACATGGCTGGCATTCATTTGAATACTCTAGCCCTTGATAGTTTTGCATGTATGGTCCAAGCAATTGGGCAATTTGGCCTAAGACTTATTCCTCCTACACTACAAGAAATTAGGGAGCCCTTATTGAAGGATTTTATATCCAATGTTAATAAAATTTTGATTTCTCAAAGAGAAGGTTGGGAGAAGTACTCTGGCTCTTCCACGGAAGAAAGGCTGGCCAAAGCCCTTCGAAGCAGTAAAAAACAACAGAGCAGAGAAAATAAAGCTAACTTTTTTTTGGCGAAGTTTATTCTTTGACCTATTCAGATATACTAAGCCTAATAACCTTGGGGCTACTATTATGTGTGATAGATGGTCCGATGGAAAGTCAAGGGCATTCACTAATTTTTTGGTTAACTATCCAACAAGTACTTTTTTTGTCAAGTCCGTTGATGCATCAGACAAGTCACAAGATGCTACTTATTTGACTTGATGGATGAGATTGTAGAGTTTGTTCGATAGATACATGTGGTACAAATTGTCACAGACAATGGTACCAATTACGCTGCAGCTGGGCATTTTTTGACTTTGAAGAGGACGCATATGTTTTGACTCCTTGCGCAGCTTATTGTGTTAATCTCATAATTAAGGAAATGGGTACAACATCTATATTTAGTGGGGTGATTTCAAAAGCTATGTTTGTTGTTGGATTTATTTATAATCACACCACAGTCCTTAGCATGATGACGAGTTTTACAAAGAAATGAGATATAGTGAGACCGGGTGTCACTAGATTTGCCACATCATTTCTCACTCTTCAAAGCCTATGCAAGCAAAAAAATGCCTTGAGGACTATGTTTGATTTAAAGCAATGAAGTAAAGGTAAGTGGTCAAAGCATCGGGATGGGAGAAAGGCTAAACAAATTATTCTCAATACAGGTCTTTGGAATCAGATATGTCATGCATTGGAGGTGGCTAGCCCTTTAGTGAGAGCGTTTTGATTGGTTGATTATGAAGTGAAGCCCACCATGGGCTACGTACATGAGGCAATGACTACGGTAAAAGGAGAGATAAAAAACGCTTTAAAGGATGATGAAAATAAATACAAAGCTATACTTGGAATTATTGATAGGAGATGGGATAACCAGCTTTACAGGCACCTACATTCAGCCAATTACTTTCTAAATCCATCTCTTCACTACAAGCACCCATCCATTGAGTCTGATTGTGTAAAAAATGGTGGGTTCTTATATGTGCTTGAGAGGTTGGTCCGTAACAAAGATATCTAAGATGATATCCAGAGCCAAGAATTGATTTAGTTCAATTTAGCATTGGGAAACTTTGGGAGAGAGATTGCTACTCTAAACAGGGACACTACAGATCCATGTAAAGGCCAAAAGTAAAGTACCCTTTCTAATTTCTATTTTGTTTGCTTTACAATTTTTTACTTGCATAATGTATAGTTCCATTTATATAAATAATTAAACATTTATCTAAAATCTAAATTATAAAATGTTATACGGGTACTAGTGGGCAAAATATGGAAGCGAGACCAAATTTACAATGTCTCGGTATTCAAATGTTGAGTCTCACATGTAGCTCATCTGGTTGCAAACGCAATTGGAGTGCATTTGAGCATGTAAGTCCTTAATCCTTATTTCTTGGATTTCAAATTTCAATTTTCTAAAATCTAACATATCTAAGAAATGTAAAAGTAGAAAGTAGAAACAAGACAATAACATCTGTTACTTTTGCTTGTTTCCTTGTTTTCTACCAGTAGAGCACAAAGGAGAAGAGTTGGCTCCAGTTGCACATCAACTCTAGAGGTCGAGGAGGAGGAGGAGGAGGAGGCTGACTCATAGGAGACCAAGGAAGAAACACAATATGTGGAGGCTGTCGAGGATGATAGTGATGATGATGATGCACATGGAAACTCTTAAGACTTGTCAGATTAGGATTTGAATTTGAAATTTAGAATCTCAAGACTTGAGAATGATGATGATTTGTTTTTACTTTTGAACTCTTTAATCTTCATGGACTTTTGGTTTGTATTTTGTAACTTTAAAGTTTGTAGTTGCAAATTTGTGATTATGGTTGTTGAATGATTTATGAAGCTAGTTTCAAGTTTCTAAATTCTACTTTCTAATGTCTTCTATGATCTGTCAGGGGATAGTGAATACAAAATCTCCGACAGCTAGGACTTTTGGAGTTAATGAATAAACGAAATGCCTACTATCACATAAATCACCTCCATATTTTTTTCTATGCATGAACCTATTTTTTAAGATTTTTTAGAATTTATTTATATTTATTGACCACATCGGGGTGATGCACCCGCATCTAGACCGCATTGAGCCCCCCAACGCATCGGGCCACTTCCCGCATTTTAAAACACTGGTAGGACTCAAATCCTGAATGTAATTCGTCCATTTAGTGGGAATCTTACAAAATAACTCATAATTCCCTAAATACAATGAAACAACCCCCAAGGTACAAAATAGCAGCACACTTGCAATATCCAATATGCATATCCTTCCCATATCAAATGTTGTTTATCCTTCTAGTTCTAAGCCTTAGAAATGTTTGACAAAGTACTGCTTCCAAGAATAGTGAAGCCCACCGACTATCATCTAGCCTTCCAAATTATGTTCCTTCTCATTTTATTGGCAATTGATATTTATTGACAAATATTTCACAAATCCTGCTCTAGGTCTCACTATAAGTATTAGAGGTTTCGTTTTATCATAACTAAACCTCTCAAGGCTTTTATTACAGGCTTACAGAATGAGACCATGCAAAGCAATTCCATTTTGAGATCCAATATATTACATGGATGTCATATATCATAAATTTAAATCAAGATAAGTTGAAGTCTGACAAAAACTAGGTATAGTAGCATAGAAATTGAAGTTAGAGGTCCTTTTCCAATCAAAAAGAAATTTAAGTAAGACGCTCAATATAAGAGTGAATAAAGCATTTAGCCATACTGAATAAAGAAAATTGGGCTCATGAATTTCTATTACCATATCAAACCTATTGTATCTAAGGGAGCAAAATAAGACTCATATTATTGAAGTTGGAACCATCTTCAAGTTACCAACCTCTGCTCGCAAACGACAAGCAAGCTCATACTGTGAATCTGCATCCCCCATGTCCGCAGCATCAACAAGTAGTGCAGCCCCACTATGTAATGGGGATGATAACAACAAAATCAGTGATGTAAACATTTCAAAATATCAGTCAACAATATTGATTGTTTACAATTATAAAAAGGGAAGTGCAAATCTACATGCCAAACTAAACGTTGTGAATGTCAACCAAAAGATAAAGGTGCAGCCAGTGTAAACAGTCATTGACAGACTCACAAGGAGCATGATATCTCCACTGAAGGCTTCCTTTTTGTCATTTAAAAATAGTTTTCACAATCAAAATATTTACTGATGCAGAGCACACATTAACTATGGTTTTCCTCTCCTATTGGAAAACCCATTTAATCAAGTATTGTGGGATGTAAAACAGCTAAAGAGTGGTGTGAACTTGCAGAGTAGTAATTTGTTTGTCTTGTATTTTAAAGTTCCACAAACTACTAGCATACATATTAGTGGCTGTATGCAAATAACCACTCTGATATTCTTGAAACCACACATGTTTGTGCAAATGTATGCATTATGTGTATGTCATATAAAATGAAGTGGAGGCATAACAATAGCAATCTGTTAAGAGACACCAGAATATTGTTCCTATGTTAACAGGATAGATTGAGAGAGATGCAAGTACATGCATGTGGATTGCAGAGAGAAATATGAGATCCACACTATATTATTATTCAAAGACCCACATTTAGGAGTTAGGAATTGCTTCAGTCAACTTGGCTTGGGCACCTAACATAGTCCTAAAACAAGTAGACTTAACTAGGGACTCACCGAGTTTTTGGCAGGACGTAGTTAAGACCTGAGTCTTATATGAGTCTGTTGGGTATTACTCAGATCTCGTCCGGGTCCTTCAAGATATTACAGAACATTCTGAAGATTATATGAGTCTTACAAGATGATACTAGCCTATTTGACTTGGTATTCAACAATTTAACTCATCCCAGACCAGCTAAGTCCTGAGCCAGGTCATGAGTTTCTCCACACTGGCAAAACCAGCTCATCATATATAATTGCGAACATGAACATCAACGAAACACATAGCTCATCAACTATAATGCAAAAGTATGTTTGTGCAAAAGTATGTATGCATTATGTGCATGTCATATAAAATAAAGTGGAGGCATACCAATAGCAATCTGTTAAGAGACAACAGAAATTGATCCTATGGTAACAGGATCGATTGAGAGAGATGCAAGTACATGCATGTGGATTGCAGAGAAAAATATGAGATCCACAATATATTATTGTTCAAAGACCCTACATTTAGGAGTTAGAAATTGCTTCAGTCAACTTGGCTTGGGCACCTAACATAGTCCTAAAACAAGTAGACTCAACTAGGAACTCACTGAGTTTTTGGCAGGACGTAGTCTTATATGAGTCGGTTGGGTATTACTCAGATCTCGTCTGAGTCCTTCAAGAAATTACAGAACGTTCTGAAGATTATATGAGTCTTACAAGATGATACTTGCCTATTTGACTTGGTATTCGACAATTTAACTCATCCCAGACCAGCTAAGTCCTGAGCCAGGTCACCGAGTTTCTCAACAGTGGCAAAAACTAGCTCATCACATATAATTGCAAACATGAACATCAATGAAACATAGCTCATCAACTATTATGCTATATAAGCTTTTGTATAACCAATTGGCCTAGAGTGCGATTTGTTTTTTCAAATACATACTTCGCATGATGGTTTTCTTCTTGTGTTAAACATACCTCATCAAATACTCATAGTCATATACCGAGACATAGATGCACATATACCTACTTGTATACATAGTTGTGTGAGTGTGCATGAGCATGTACATACATATACACATAGATGCGCATATACACATACATACATGTATTCTGGCATTCACATTTTGTGTATGTATGCATGTAAAAAAATGTATATTATCAAGAAGGTTTTTCTTGTAATTTTTTGCAGAAGATGACTTGAGATTTTTTATGACAAGTAATGAGTAACACTGCCAAGGTGTTGGATCTGCCAGCAGGCTTTTGGGAAGGGCGTGGTATTCAGGCAGGGTTCACACCAAATTTAAGGTTTTAGGCTGGGCTTCAAAGGCATGTTTTAAGTTTGGGTGGGGCCCAAGCCTACCTTGGCCAGCCCGAATATATATATATATATATATATATGTGGTGGAGAGACGCACGAGAGG